CCTCAGCTCTGCGGTCGTTGAAAGAGGTCACTCTCCCTTTCTGTTCGTCCAGGACTGTTCAAGGTCTAACTCAATGTTCCTTTTTTACGATCGCCCTCTAAGTAGATTTTTTAGCTGTCTTATCTGTATAATATTTATATGTACGTGTAATATTTATATGTGTTTATACATAATGTGTATTTTGAGATATTTTAGATGAAATTCTAATGCTACGGATATACCGCGCCTGTTTATACCGTATAAAGCACATATAAATAAAAACAATAAGGTTTTTGCCTCCCCAGAACCACTTCCCCTCCCCTGCGGGATGGAACTGCCCCCACTGAGAATGGGGGGTCTAACTCGCCTGCCTCTGGAGCTTTACCTCCTACCCTCTCTCTTTTGTCCATTACACGCCCCTTCTCTCTGTCCTTCAAGAACCAAGCTTGTCGCTGCCACAGGACCTTTGCCCTAGCTGGCCCCTCTGCCTTGACCGTCTCATGGCTGGCTCCTCGAGGTGCCATTCTCCAAAGAGCCTTTCCCGACCGCCCGGGGTTAACTCACCACCACATCCCACGGGCGACACGTTACAAGACAACTTCATTGTCCGTTTGCCCTTAGTGGGAGTGACAGTCCCCAGAGGCCAGGACCTTGCCTGTCTGGTTAGCGCCGGCATCTAGAAGGGCCCCTGCCCCATGACAGGCACCCCAGGAAGCAAGCGAACCCGTGGGTTCTCTGGTCTAATCGTCTGTACCGACCCTGCTGCCGAGGGGGTCCCGGGTCCCTTAACGGCCTGCGTGTCGCTATTTTAGGGCCCCTCAAAACTGGCTGGAAACATCTTTTACGTTATTTGTCTGGTCTCCTGTTTTTCCTCGTCTGCGCGCCTTGTTTCGACGCCCCCACCCCGCCAGCGACTCCTTGTCACCTTCTGGGGAGGAGACACCGCCCTGTGGAGGGGGCACAGCCGGCCAGACTCCCTTGTCTTTCCTGGTGGCCTCTGCCCACGCCCTGGGGGTCCCCAGAGAGGGTGTCATTGGGCACGCAGAGGGGCAGGCAGGGGAGAAGGCAGGAAGGTGTTACCTTGAAGATGGGGTGGATCGACGGAAGGCACCTCATGGTGGCCACGGCGATGACCTCGGCCATCAAGTGTCCTCGCAGCAGATGGGACTGCAGCTCGTGAACCTGGAAGTCCGAACTACGGACCCAGCATTTGGCCAGGAGCCAGGCCATCGGGGGGTCCGTGGGCAGGAAGAGCAGGGGCGGGGGGGCTCCCTCGCGCGGCAGTTGGAGCTGGAGCAGGGCCCGGGGAGGGGGAAGAGAGGGGATGATGCCAGGGGCCCACGGGTGCCCTCCTCCCCCAACCCCTCCGCCTCCCTCCCGGCTCACTTAGCTCTGCCCGCCCAGCCCGTCACCCTGTGCAAGCTGGTTCCACAGCCTCCTCCAGCCCCCCCCACCCCGTCTTCTCCGTGTGGACGGGATCCAGACCCTCTGCTCCCCCCGCCCCACGCTCTTTCAGAAAGCGCAGCCTCTCTCCCACCTCGCAACACCGGCTGGGGCTGTGGTGCTCGGCTGTCACTGGCCACACATCACCCTCCGAATGTCCCCCTCTCCGTGTTACCGATTTTCCTCTCTGTCCTGTTTCTGCAGGGACCTCGCCTGACTCTTCCTTCTCCCCTCTCCCTGAACCCAGGCCGCTGTAACTTTGCCCCGCACCCCACAGCTGTCCCCCACCTCCGCCTTGCACCGTCGGGTACCCGTCACCCCACTCCCGGGATCTAGCGGCCCCCTCCTCCACCCCGGCCTGCATGCAGGTGCCCCCCGCCTCCCGTGGTCCTGCTCCTTCGCTGGGCTCCACAGCCCGCACGGTGCTCTCTCTCTCTCTCTCTCTCTCTCTCACTGCTCCCCAGCTCTGCAGGCCGGCTCTCCATGGGGCATCTCCCCACCGGCACAGCGATCCTTTACAGCCCCCCTGCCCAGCCCCGTTCCTGCGGTGGTGAGGTCCTGCCCGCCCCCTGCCCGAAGCTCCAAGTCCTGAGCCTTTCCAAGGCTCACGCTGCCACCTCCAGAGGGCCCTCCCAGACTGCCCTGACCTCAGGGACTTTGTCAGTCCCGGACCGGACCGTCTTCAGATTGGCCCGGCCCGCGTCTCCAGCTAGACTACAAGTCTCCGCCCTTGCCCCCTTCCTCCCCGGGGCCTTAAGCCTTGCACGCAGTGGGTGGAGTGGAGGCCCTGCGCATCTGGCCAGGGGCCCAGCGGGAGGGCGGCCCCTGGGGAGCAGAACTGCTCAGTCCTCCCACCTGGATGACCATGGGTAAGAGCTTCCCGTCAGGCTGCAGCTTCAGCATAACCAGGGGGGCGGCCAGGTACTGCTGGGTGCACAGGATGACATTGGCCTTGATCCCGTCCAGCAGAGAGAAGTCGGCTTCAAACAGCGTGCCTCCCTGCAGGGGTGTGGGGGGGAGGGCGGGGGTGAGACTCTGTCTCCATCACCCACCCTCCCTGGAGGAAGCTGGTTTCTCCAGGATCAGTCCCGCGGCAGGAGGCCGGGCCCACCGTGGAGCCCTGAGCGGCGGCGGCAGGGACGCGGACCCCAGCCCCACCTCACCGCCCGCCTTCTCTGCGGCCCCGGAGCCCATACCTGGAGCTCTGTCTCCAGCTCCGCCCGCAGCGCCTCCATCCCCGGAGGGAAGTGCAGGCGGGCCGGGAGCTGCTTGGAGCGCCGCAGCACCATGGGGTTGGAGCCATTGAGAAACTGGTACCCAAACCAGGCATCCTCTTTCCAGGAGGAGCGCACGCGCTCTGGGGGTGACAGTGGTGGCACTGTGGGGCCTGAGCACCCCTGCCAAACCCCCGCGGGGCCCCTGGATCGGGTGGGATCTGGGGGGAGGGTCAGGGGAGACGTGCTGCGGCGGGGGACTGACCGGCCAGCTCGCTCTGGCCACACCAGAAAATCCGGCTGAAGTCTTCCGGATCATTACAGCAGGCCAGGACGTTTAAGGAGTCTTTGATGGCCAGGTCCGCCAGGCTTCGGGGACGGAGGAGGGAAGAGCGTGAGTCGTCGTCAGAGTCCAGCACACGACCACCGGCACCCAGCTCGGCCCCCCTGCACGCCCAGCCCGACCCGCCTCTCACCCCTTGGCCAGGGAAGCCTCGAAATCAAATCTCTTGTTTTCCAGAAACCTCTCGTCCGCCGGGAGGTCACAGAGCGTGGAGCCCGCCATGTTCAGGATTAGCCCATCCTTCCAGTTCCCCCAGCTGGGGGAGAAGCGAAAGCAGGTGTCACTGCCAAGGAAGGGTGAGCAGCGCCCGGC